TCAGAAACCCTCTTTCATTTAGCTCCTATTAGAAACAACGGAAGATACTGAACCAAGACGAGCTGGAAAAGAATCAGGGAGAGGAGAAGCTGGACGGAGACGGAGCAAAAACACTTTTAAACCCCGATTAAGAAGCAGGACAAGCTAAGTGTTTTTGTTTGTGGGTGAAACTTTTGAGCCCAACCATCCACAGTACAGTTCCTTTAACTTGGCCAGCTGCCACACCAGCAAAAGTGTGTGCATTTCTGTGTACCTGGGAGCTGCTCTTCAAAAGYCCCCGCCATGCTTGTTTTGCTCTGTTTATTTTTGCTCTGCTCGACCCTCTTTCTTCCCCTCCCAGGCCTCCTCGCCTTATCCGCATTGAGGGTTCAGAGGGGTTGATAGCATGAGAAATAAAACACTAATGGAAACGTCGCACCTGAAACTTTCCACCGGCGGAGACGATTGAGCCCAGCTGAGACAACAACGTGAGCCGGAGGTTTGTGATACGCTTGATACCTGTACGAGTAAAACACCTGAGTGCCTTCAACACACTGAAAAGATGTGCAACTGGTAAAATTGAGGCGTTTAAAGCTTGGTCGGACATTAAAAACGACGTCATGCTATATTTTATACGAGTCATATGATCTGTGAGTATGTGTTGTGGATGATGCTCAGCTACCACCGCGCCATATTTGAGCTCCCCATCTATACAACCCACTGATTTACAGCGATTTATGTGTTTGCTAAGGTTGATTAACTGTGGCGGCCATCTTGACTTGGGTTGGCTCCAAAAGCCAGTCCRTTATTGCCTTCAACTGCAGAAAATTATAGTATATTTTTTGTTTCACAAGAACACAGACTTTTTTGTTTCCACTGGAAAATTTCAAACTCTCATGTACTGTACTTAATCTTTGTGTTGCTACTGAAACCAGTCTTTTGCCAGATGTGTTCCGACARCAGCAATACAGTGAAACTGTTTACCAGAGCTCGGAAAAAGAAAAGAAAWTTTTTTGTAAAACCTAAAGAATTTTTGTAAAACCTAAATTATTTTTTGTAAAACCTAAAATTCAAACCAATTTAAAGGACAGATGTACTTCAGTCAAAGGAATAAGATTTTGGAATAATGTGRATATGACTGTAAAAATGCTGGCTCAATTAATTTGTTTAAGAGAATGACAAAAGTTAAATTGTCAAAGTAATACAAAATTGTATAATTTGTATTTGTAAGAGTTACTGTTTGAGGTTTATTTTTTGTTTAGTTTTATTATTTGATTACTGTTGTTTGAAATTAATATCATTTTTGCAAATAGGGGCAGATATAAGATTTTTTTTCTTCTTCTGCTTCCTTTTATTTTATTTGTATTGTTTTGTTGTACGTAAATGCATTTTGTTTTCAAAATGTTTAAAAAAAATTTAATTTAAAAATAAAAATACCACACAATCTGACTTCTTCCAACAGCTTTAGCTGAACTTTTACTTTTGCACAAAAGGAAACAACGTACAGATGTGAATCTAATTTGAAAATGGCCAATCAAGCAATAATACTTTTTCAACATAAGGTTTACAATAACATTTGTAGAACCCCTGTTTCCAAAATATAAAATATTGGACAAAAACTAACCAGACGGATGTGACAAACTAAAGATGCACCTGACAGATTTTTTTACTGTAACTTATGAGAATGTGGAATTTGTTTTTTGCACATGAGCTGAAGTGTTATCAATTGTACAGATCAAATTTTAAAACCTGGAGAGRTTCTGATAACTTTTTATTAGGTTAAATACTTCAAATGGTAAAAAAATAATAAAGCAGAGTATTTACTTTAATCATGACTGTCTGACCCCTTTAATGTCTTTAAAGTCCATGTTGACACAGTCACATGGACCTTCACTACAGCTGGGTGACRTCCAACTTAAATTTACCTCTGGTCAAAAGGACCAGAAAGCTCCGCCTGGTGATGCATGAAGTCTCGTTCAGACGTACCACCGTTTGAAACCTGTGTGACGACCTCAGAAATTAGACACGTAACACCAACAGTACTTCCCCTCTGTGACGTCTCTCGTTGGACATTGAAGCTGACTCTTGAAAATGGTCCTGGCTATAATAAAGCACGTAGGCAAAGGCGAAGCAAACTTTGACCTGGAAAGTTTGTCGCCTCCTCGTTATGTGTGTATATTTATGTGTGAGTTGTGCAAGCTAAGTGCTGGCCGGTGTGTACGACTGAACACAGAGTGCCTGACCTCAGGAGCAGACAGAGACGCAGCTAAACAAGATACAAAATGTTTGCTCCTGTTCCGTTTCAGCATTTTATTTGGATTTCCTAATTCCGAGTACAACTATAGTTTGTATGGTTTTTCACTAAATCAAGATCTAGATGAAGTAGCTCGAATAAAAAAACACAGCAACTCTAYGTTGATGTGACACCTTACGCTACTACTTTACTACTACTTTATGTTTGCATCGAGAGCTGGACAATAATTCACTATCGATATATAACGCGATAGAAAACATTTCAATAACAGAGATATGACTTGAATTATTAACAATGTAAAAATTTGAATATTTGTTACATCAGTGCACAATGATGTACAACACAAACTGAATGCCAGGGCTGTGCGCTRCCACCCCATTCACACTACACTAACAACAAGCCATGGATATCTGCAGCAAAATCAGCTCGACAACTGTAAGTGAACAAGTGTTCACAGTTGGAAAAAGAAGCAAAAGAAATAGTCAAGAAAGTAAAGACTACCATAAAACCAACTATTCAAACTACCATTGAAGGTCTGATAAACTTCAGCTCTCGGTTGGCGGTAAAACCTGCCAGAATCTGGTGCTGACTTGCAGCAGGAACAGAYCAAATCTGTTCCACCATCTGATAAAGTTCCACTCGACAGAACATTCTGAGTGTATGAAAACGAAGCACCTTAAAAGTTGAATCGCTCTTCCATAAAACTTCACCGCCTGCCCGTCGGTAGCTGTGCCGAGCAAATGCTGGCAGGTSGTTGCGACATAAACTTGGCTTCACCACACTTAAATTCCAGATATCTGAAATTGATTTATGACTAGACATGTTAGTTAATTAAGACATCTCTRATAATTGTTGCCTTTGTCATACTTTATACATTTTGTGAAAATACGTTGTGCCTAACAAAGACAGGTCTGGAAAAATCCATTCTATTTTCATTCAAAGATCAGAGAATTTAAGAAGAAAAGGATTCAGAGGCAGAAAGTAAAACTCTCTGATTTGCAGCACACGGCACAACAAACACACAGCAGAGCAAAGTACCGGCATCATTCATTCTGGCTGCAAGGCCACAGTGACTCATGACAGCTTGTAAAAGCTGAGGAAATTGTAGCTTGTTCTTGACGAAAAACAACTACTGTACTGGATCACCACATCTGAATAGCAACCTGCACTGAGATGTAAATATATAGTAAGAACACACAAACTACATATGTAAACCAGATACGTATGAATGAATGAAAAAACCTTGCTGATTGATGAATGACAGCTCTCATACTTTGTGTTTAGATTCCCTACATGTTAAAGTCCTTAGTGTAAACACACAAACACACACAGCTTTTTCTGTACAAACGGAGCTGCATAAAAACTGGGAAATACAAGCTCTCCCCTGGCTTTCACCTAAAGGCATGTGGAACCTTGTAAAATACAACAAAAACAAAGCCACAGTTTCCACTTGCACATAAACTTTAACAGCCCTTCTAATCTGCCTCTGTCCTGCACCCGACTCTGTGTGCAAGTGTTCATATCCACGTGTGTTAAGTTTCAATAGAAAACTCAATGATGATTCTGCAGTTGCAGCATTTATTACATTACATTATATATATA